GGTGTTCTGCAGTGGAGGGGACAGAGGCCACTCACCTGGGCCAGCTGGGGCGACTCTGCCTCGGCCCCTCAGTTCACAAAACCTGGTGGAGTTTAGCCCACCTTTGGGTCCGGCCTGCCGGCCACCCCTGCCACTGCCCAGGCCCAGGGCCACACCAGGGGGACCCTGCCACTGCCAGCACACAGCCCCACGGGTTTGCTCCTGGGGTGAAAGCCAAGCACAGCGCTGCTTTCAGGATCAGCGCAGGCTTCATAAGCTCCTGAGACCACTCCACTTTCAGTACAGGTGAAGTCAGGGTTGTGCATGTGAYATGTCTGGGCCCACTTGCCCAGAGCACAGGGACCCTACTGTAGTAAGATCTTAGGCATGACAGGCCATTGGAACTGGAATCCATATCTTTCTTCTATGTGACTTTGGGCAAGTCTCTCAACCTCTCTGTGCCTTAGAATCTTTGTGTAAATRGTATAGACCTGCACGGGACCCTGCGATAGTTTGGATCTTGAATGTCCCCCAAAGGCCATGASTTGAAAGCTTACTCTCCAGTCCATAGTGCTTTTGGGAGGTGGCAGAACCTTTAGAAKGTGGGCCTAGTGGAAGGAGTTAGATCACTGGAGTGTGCCCTTAAAGTGGGTATTGGAATGCTTATCCCTTTCTTTCTCTTTTGGCTTTCCAGTTGCCAAAGGGCCTCCTCTGCCAAGCCCTCCCACCATGATGCACTGGGCTCCCACAGGCCCAGAGCAACAGGGCCAAGTGACCGTGGACTGAAACCTCTGCAACCAYGAACCAAGATAAACCTTTTCTTTTATTGAGTTGATTATCTCAGGTATTTTGTGATATGACGGAAAGCTGACTCATGGGACCCATGAGGTTGTCTTGGTGATTAAACAAAGAAGTGCTGAGAGCAGCAGGGGGACCCAATGGCACTGCCTATGTCCTAGCAGGTGCCTGTTGAGCGTGTGCTGCTCAAGGAAGCCCAGCACTCTCCAGGTGCCACCCAGGGAGCCTGGCACTGTGCTTCTGCCTGGCTACCTATGAAAGAGGGTCCTAGCTCAGAGCCAGTGTCTGCCTGTGGCATGCCAGCTCCTTCAGGCTGTGAAGCTGGACACTGTGGGGACAKAATGAAGGCCTTGAACCAGGCAGAGAGTGGGGAAAATCACTATCAATCTGTTTTTCCAAATTGCGCTACTTCAAATGCCCTGGGCAGATGCCCACGKGTGCGGGGTCACTCAGCTGGGCCAGAGGCCCTTTGTCTCCTTTAAAGGTCCCATTGTGACCCCACACTGGCCCCAACCCTGGAACAAGAGGCCCTTGTGTGGGCCCTGCAGGCCAGCTCCTCTGGCCCTCGGCTGGCAGCGGGGATTCTGTCCCTGTGGGGTTGGTGCAGGGCACCGTCCACCCCCACGGAGGCTGCGCCTGCCGGGCTCCAATAAGAGCCAGTGTTTTGTCAGGTTCTAGAATGTGGAGGAAGCCTGACTTGCCCAGAAGTGGGTCTTCTGCAGAGGGGCAGATGCCCTGGGGACCTACCATGAGAGGACTGGTAGGGAGGTTGGCTTCCAGGGAAGGTGGGCTGCATGGGACCCTCCAGGCCACCCTGCCCTGAGGGGGTGCCCCTCAGCCTCCAGGAGCAAGGTGAACGTGAACGTTCAGTGCCCTGTTGGAGTTGACCCACAGCGGCCTCCCCGGGGGCCTCCTGGGCTGCACTCTCCC